TTTTTTTTCTTTTTCTTCCTTTACTATTTCTTCCTTTCTCTCTATAGGAGCAGCAGCTGACGTGGATCTCTTCCTTCTGTTGCGTTTTCCTTCCACTAGATTTCGTTTCCATATCCTTCCTACTTTACCAAAAGGCATTTGTCTTTCTCAATCTATTCCTGACCTGCACTAATCGTTAGAGAATGCCTGCCTGCTTCTCTGCTTCCAACTTCCTTCTCTAATCCAATACCTGCTAATTTCTTGGTAAGTACACTAAGTGAGGAGTTAATTCACTTCCCTCTTTTATTGGAGTCAGTCTTCCAGGTGACTACTCACCTACCGTCTTCAGGTTAATAAGTGACTGTGAGATTCTGGTTTGCAGTCAGACACTGACGAAAATACAGATGAGCAGCCAAGTGCTTGTCTGATGAAGTGCTGTAGGAAACACACTTTTATGATGTTATCTGTTAGGAATGTAATTTGGATTGTTGTTGTTGTTGTTGGAGTAATAATACTTGTATATTCTGAACTTCACAGAAGAGCTCTACCTGTACGTCAACAGTATCTCCTCTTCTGTAGAACAACAGATGTATTCCTTGTCTTGGAACTTAGAGTGAATCATGCTGGTAGCATCCATAGAATATTGACAGTCTTGACCAAGACAGAGTTAGTTTTACTTCCCCAGGATACTGAATTGTGCTGATTTCTGGTTGGTGAGAGTACTTATATACTAAGTTAGGAAAATTTTTAAACCATTAGGGTTTTGAGCTTCCTCCCTGGACACCCCACACCCACCCCAATTTTCAGATAAACTAATACATGTGAACAAAGATGATAAGACAACATAATGATAACACTTCACACAGTAACATATGATTGCTTCTATTGCACAGAACTGTGTGTTATTAAAAAGGCAATTTTTTTTTTGCTGCAGTAAGGGTTTTTCACGTTAACAAGTGTTTTCAGATCCAGCCAGTTGCAACATGTCTATCTTTTTCATATCATCTTTGATAATTCATAGATATTTATGTTCAGAAAGTGTTTGTTTTTGTTCTGTTTCAGAGCCCATCCTTAGACCTTGATCTGAAAGGCGCTCGTGGGTGTATTTAACTTAGTTCATTGTGAATATTCCCACATATGTCGATCTTAATAAGCTTCCTCGTAGCGAAAAGCTAAGCATGTGCACAAGTCTTTGCAGGTCTGAGGCCTCTTCTCATTGCTTTGTCCTTTTAGGTGCACGTTATTAAGTCTGTTACAGAAAGGAACAGAGAAGGGAAGCGATGCTATGAAAGCCCTGCACAATGGAAAGGATAATGGGCTTACGTTAATAGAGTTTTCTGTAACTGCTCTGTCTTCCCTGAAATTCTCTTTGAGGAACTGGAGCATTGTTTTCCTCAGTTTGTGGTGCATGAGTGCTGTTTTATTCTTTGAACTCTGGGCTGAATCAAGAGCAGCGTGGGCAGCAGGTCGAGGGAGGTGATTTTCTCCCTCTCCTCTGCTCTCATAAAGCCCGACATGGAGTACTGTGTCCAGTTCTGGAGCCCTCAAAATGAGAAAGACATGGACCTGTTAGAATGAGTCCAGAGGAGGGCATGAGGATGATGCGAGGGCTGGAGCAGCTCTGCTGTGAGGACAGGCTGAGAGAGCTGGGGCTGTTCAGCCTGGAGAAGAGAAGGCTGTGAGGAGAACTTCTAGCGGCCTCCCAGTACCTGAAGGGGCTCCAGGAAGGCTGGGGAGGGACTTTAGACAAGGGCAGGGAGTGACAGAACAAGGGGTGATGGTTTTAAACTGGAAGAGGGGAGAATGAGATGAAATATGGGGAAGCAATTCTTTCCTGTGTGGGTGGTCAGACACTGGAACAGGTTGCCCAGAGAAGCTGTGGCTGCTCCTCCCTGGAAGTGTTCAAGGCCAGGGTGGATGAGGCTTTGAGCAACCTGGTCTAGTGGAAGGTGTCCCTGCTGATGGCAGGGGGGTTGGAACTGGATGAGCTTTAAGGTCCCTTCCAACCCAAACCATTCTGTGATTCTATGATAACATTACTCTTCTTATTTTAATCATAGAATCATAGAATGATGATTAATGCTGACTTTTTTATCCTAACCAATTAAACTTTAGTATTAAAAAGTTAGGAGAATGCAGTGCACTGTTCACACTCTTGGCATTCATTAGAAACGTTGCTGTAAAAAGGTGGGGAGGGAAAAAAATTGGTGTTATGTCCAACAATTATCATAGATAATTGTACTGTCTGGGCAGGTGCATTTTCTCTTAGTTTATTAACTGATTTGTCATCCACCAAACGTTTTTAGGTTATTTTACAAAGTAAGTATATACATTAAATGTCTTTAAAAGCCTGTAGATTACTTTTTAGTGCAAAGGACTGTACATCAGTGTCAGTGCAGTGCTTCCTCTACATTTATCTGTATTCCTGAACTTCAGTGCAACAGTACGCAGGCTTCAAAACATTTTCTTCACTCTTTCATGTTTTCTCTGCTCTAGTGTGCCATCTAAACTGACAATTAGCTTAAAATTCCTAGAAGTGTTTTTTGGTGGATGAAAGTCTTGTTAGTTTTCCCTGTCCATTTGTGTTCAAAAATTGCCTCTGTATAGTTTAGTTGACAGAGGGAGAGGATTGTGTTTTCTTGTTTTAGGATTTCTAAAGAAGCCTTGATGGGTTTGTATTTAGTTTGGGGTTTAAAGGTGTTTTTCTGTAAGCATGGGGCAGAGGAAATTGGTTTTATTTTTCTTGGATTTCTTCTTTTTTTGCATTTCCTAACCTTCTGATTTTCAAATAAAAAATGACTTCTGTTCTCCCAAAATGGGCCATGGATTTCTTTCCTTCCACAGAGAGTAAAATTGGTAGGATATTTGGGATCCACACCTGCTGAGAAAAAAAACTGGAGGAGAGGCTGCTGTGTTTTTGGGAAATACTCCTGGGGTTTTCTGTTTGGTTTTCTCTTTTACCTTTGGATTATTAATTTAGACTCTAATTCATTTTTTTGTGGTGGCTGTGTATCAACCAAGCTATTCTTAATGGCTTAACCAAGCCATTTAAAAGAAAACATTTTTTTTTCAGCAAAATAAGATGATAAAAACATTAGAGCATGATATTTCGAATAATTTAATGTATAGGATGTTGATACATATACAATTTTTATATAAATGTTTCAAACTATACTACTGCTCATGAAAAATTAGAGACAGCAGTGCTGTTCAAAGAGCTCATAAAGAATTGCTGCAGAGAAAGAGATTGGAGCAATATTACTTATATAAAGTGTACTATTATTTTAGGGGGTTTTTAGTGATGTGTTTTCGAGCATGCCTTTTTCACAGTCCCTGCTTTAACAGGACAATTAAGATATTTTCAAAGCATTAATATTTTTCTTCCTTCTGGTGTGTTCACTGGGTTTGTAGTGTCAAGTATTTTCTTTTAGACTGTAGCTGAGCCTTTATTTCCATATGAATAAATGACAGGCAGCTGGAGAAACTTGGCATGTTGACTCATTTTCTACGTTGATGGGTTGCTGTAGAGCATTAACCTCCTGGCTGCTGAATCAATGTTGTGTTTAATGTGTTATTTGATAACTAGGTTTTGTGTTCTGGGTTTCCACTTAGGTAAATGCTTAAAGCAGCAGAATGTCTCAGGTATACCTACTAACGACTTTCATCCCCTCTGACTGTACCGTAGGCAACATGAAACATCATTTGAAGGCAATCTGATAAGTCAAGAAGTGATGTTAAAGCGTCAGGAAGAAGAAATGATGCAACTACAAGCTAGAATGGCTCTCAGGCAATCCCGACCTAACCTTTACCCAGGAGAGGCAATTAGGTCTTCAATGCTTGACATCACCAGAGATCCACTGAGAGAAATAGCCCTGGAAACAGCCATGACACAAAGAAAACTGAGGGTAATGCCCTGATCTCAGGTGAACTCTTACTTTCATTGAAATAGGGCAGTGTCTTGACTGAAACTCTTAATGTGTGGGATTCATAAACTGAGTCCTGTAATAAACAGTCATCAACAGATTAAATGTTAGGTGGTTGGTGTTGCCCTGATAGGAAAGGGCTACTCTCACAAGGTAAACTGCTGAGGTTTTGTGGCATTAGTGGCTACGTAGCCTAAAGCAGTATCAAGAGATTCTAAACCAGACAGCAAGCCTTGACTTAAGGATTGCATCGATTAAACACTGTAGTGTCCTAACAAAGGTAAGGTGCAGTTTTCTTCTGTATTCTGTGGTGTTTTCAACCACTTTCATTTGCATTTATTTCTCTTAGTGGAATGTGAATGTGTGCCACCAGCATCAAAAGTTATTAAATGAGCAAGCTGGGAAGGTAAAGACAGGCAGAGAGGATTCATTTGGCCCTTGGGTTCACCTTGAATCACCGGGCAAACTCTCATTTCCTTTCCCAGCTGTTTTGGTATGTGGATGAAATATAAGATTACAGAGAAAGAGGGAGACTGAGGTATAAGTAAATGGAGTGGCTGATATTTAGAAGAGATGATGGCTTGATGCCCTCTGCTGCTGCTTTAAGTGAATTGGATTTATTTATTACTATTTTTTTAAGAAAGAGAAAACTTGAAACAAGACTCGGGTGAATTTGCTGTCCTAATCCAGGGTAATAGTTCCTGTATCTGTTTCCAGCCCAAAGCACTGTGACCAGTTTAGTTCACGTAGGCTTTAACTAACCAGGCTGGTTCCCCTCTATCCCTTAAGAGGTTTATGTGCAGATGTTTTACATACAGTACACAGTAGGTAGTAGCCAATGAAGGTTTTCTCTCAAAAATTGTATCTTGGGCCACTTTTTTAATGTGGTATTGAAGTGGGTGTTGTGCAGAGGACTTCCTTTCAGTTTCGACAGGTAACCTCTTATAATTTACAGGGTGAACTAGCAGAACATTTATTTATCTACAGGCAGACAGAAATTGGCCAGGATCTCGACTTGAACCTGGCAGATAGAATTAGGCTGAAACATTTCAGTCTTCAGGAGATGAGATTTGTGTGTCACAGGCAGAGGTTTGTCAAAGCAGAATTGCCACCGATGCAGAAAACCTTAGTAATGTCAGGCAGTTGCCTACTGAGATAAGCCCTGATGGTGTCCCACAGGTATGCAACCCACACCCTGTATTTTAAAGGAAGACAAAGAATATTACAGCCTTGGCTTTTTGGCAGCAAAGGAAGGAAAATATGCAGAGTAATAATGCCACTGATACTGTAGCTTTCCAGTGGTATCTGGCATGCATGCTGGCCAAATCAGGTTCTTTAGATTTACCAGCTCATGGGAATTCAGTACAATTTTCTCCTTTGGGCCTTTGGTTCCTCTTTGCATTTGCAAAAGGCAGGAGATAACTGTGCCTCAGTCTGTTGTTGCAGCAACACAGTATTCATTCATACTCTGGTGATTTGCAGAATTTCTTTGGCCCTGAGTTTGTGAAAATGACGATTGAGCCATTCATCTCCTTGGATCTACCAAAGTCTATCTTGGTAAGAAGGGGCTTTTCAGCAATCAAGTGGTGAGGGAAGTGTGTTAAACCAACAAATGTGCTTTTATCACAAGTGTAAATGTTGGAATATTTTATTTCACAAAATGCAGACTAAGAAGGGGAAGAGTGATGACACCAGGCGAAAAGTAAATGTGATGCTTCTAAGTGGGCAGAAGCTGGAGCTGACCTGTGATACCAAAACGATATGTAAAGATGTCTTTGATATGGTTGTTGCCCATATTGGCTTGGTTGAGCATCACTTGTTTGGACTGGCTACTTTAAGAGGTAAGAATGATTGTTTGATGTAGTTGAGAGGTAAAGAATAAGAAGAATTTAGCTAAGTGGTGTTGAGAAAAGATAAGCCTGGCATCTACAAAGCATTTACTTCGAGTTAGATTCTCTTGTATTGAGCAAAATACATTCCTCAAGGAAAAACAACTTTGCACAATAAAATTCTACGTTTGCCTGAGTAATGGCAGCTCATCCTGGGCAACCTTTTCCCTTTGGACTGCCGAAATTTCTTCCCTCCTGTTTCTTTGCTTCACTCTGACTAGTGCCCCTCAGAGGACATGAAAGGGCTTTGGGTTCTGTTAATATGCCCTGGGCAGCGTAGCAGCCTCTCATGGAGACAGATCCCTTGGGATACGTAGGAGAGCTCCTTGTATAGAAGGAGTTACCTTAAGAAAAAAAGAATTTGCTCCTGAGCTGTTAATTTTTCGCTATTAGAACTGACCACAAGTTAGACTTTTTTTTCCTCTCTGGGTAGAAGGTCATTGTGGCAGAACTAACGTGTTCAGACCCAAGTCTCCTGTCAGCATATCTCACAGGCTGTTGCAGAACAGTAGCACTGATAATATTGGCATGAGCTAGAAGCCCTTAGCAGCCTGAAAGGTTACTCTATCCATGGCAAGTTCTCAGTGCTCTTCCCAATTCAGAAAGTCTTGAAAACATTTCACAGAAATGCAAATGGGACAGAAGTAGTAAGAGAGG